AAAAAAAAACAACAACAAATAACAAAATAAACATACGCCAAAAAGAAGTGGTGTAGCAAAATAACTAAATTCTGTTTCTCGTGATGCTATATAACCACATTCAACAACACCTTCTTTACCACTTAAAGCTTCAAGAACAGCAAATGAAAATCTTGCACCAGCATGTGCCATTGATAATGTTGCACTACCAGCTCCAGCTTTAGCTTCAACAACTTCTGTTCCAGCATTTTGAATACGTGTTGTTAAACTGTCTAATTCTTGTTGAGAAAATGAAACAGGTGGTGATGTTTGTGAAAGTAATGGAATTATTGTATTTCCTGAATGACCACCAATAACTGGAACATTAACTTTTGTTGGATCAAGACCCTTTATATAAAAGAAATTTAACAAAAAGAAATTTTTTCATAATAACAAACTTTAGCTTCAGCAACAAATGTTGCAGCACGAACAACATCTAATGTTGTAACACCAATAACTTTTTTTTCATCATAAACATTATTTTCTTTCATTATTTCCGATGCAATAACAACTGTTGAATTAACTGGATTTGCAATAATAGCAATTATAGCTCGTGGACAATTTTTAGCACAAGCAGAAACAAGATCAGCAACAATTGTTGCATTTGTATTAAATAAATCATCACGTGTCATGCCTTAAAGAAAAAAAAATTTTTTGTTTTGTTTTGGCTTTTATAAAATAAAAGAATTTTGTTTTACCTGGTTTTCGTGGTACACCAGCTGGAATAACAACAAGATCCATGCCTTTGAGTGCATCAGGTAATTCATTTTTACCAACATAAGCTCTCACCTTAGTACGTGTTTCAATATGACTAAGATCGGCACCAACACCTTTTGTATGTTGAATATCATAAAGTGATAAATCACTAATCAATGGACTTAATTTAAGTAATAATGAAAGTGGTTGTCCAATGCCACCGCCAGCACCTAAAACAGCGACCTTTTTTGACTAAAATAAAATAATTTAGATTAAAGATAAAATGATAATTGATAACATACCGAACCTGTTGATCCACCTGCGGTTGATACACAACGAACAAGGCTAGGACTAATTTTTGAAATAAGTGAACCAAGTAAAATTGGAGTTTTGTTCATCTTGTTTCGACTGGATGTTTTCTTTTTATTTTTGTGCTATTAAATAGAAGTCCTGGAAAAAAGTAAATTAATATGAAAGTCAAAAAAAATGTCAGATTAAAAATATTATATAGATAGTTTTGTTTTGTTTATTTATATATATGATTTAGCTATTTTAGTTTAACCAATGATTAGAAGTGTTATATTCAATCTATTTAAAATGAATTATTAACTAAATGATTTTTTTTTCTTATTAAAAATTAAATCATATAAGAAAAATTCAATAAAATAATTTTAAAAATATTAAAAATTTCTATGTCTTCTTAATAACATCATAGTAGAGGTTAGAAAATTATTTTTCATAGGTTCATGACGTCGGTCAAACGCGCTGAATCTTGATTGGGGAAGAGAAGATTGATAATGAATAAATAGGAAAAAAAAAAGATCGTGTAATCCAAATATTGGTTGAAAGGATTAGAGTTAGATCATAAAGTCTCTTTTTTTCTTTCTCTTCATTTCTACATCGTTCAATTAACATTCTAGATAAAATCAAAAATGCATAGATCTTTAGTTTTTTTCATCATTGGTTTTCTTATATCTACAACAAATGGATTTTATAGTTCAAATGATGATGTTATTGAACTTGATCCATCAAATTTTGATCGTCTTGTTATGCAAAGTTCTGATTTATGGTTTGTCGAATTTTATGCACCATGGTGTGGTCGTATGTATTTAATTTATTGAATTATTTTTATTTGATAATGAATTTTTTTTGTTTTTTTTTTGTTATAAAAAATTTAGATTGTCAAAATTTAGTACCCGAATGGAAACGTGTTGCAACAGCATTGAAAGGCATTGTTAAAATTGGTGCTGTCGATGCTGATACACATAAATCACTTGGTCAACAATATGGAATATCAGGTTTTCCAACAATAAAAATCTTTGGAAGTAATAAACGATCACCAACAAATTATCAAGGTGGACGAACAGCTGATGCTATCGTTGAACAAGCACTTAGTCAATTAAGAACAATTGTTAATGAACGATTGGGTAAACGAACTGGAGGTGGAAGTAGTGGAAGTGGAAGTGGAAGTGGAAATGAAGGAAAAGGCACAATTGAATTAACAGATAGTAATTTTGATGTAAAGTATTTTTGAAAAAAAAATTGAATTACTTTTTTTTGGTAATTAGATTTTTTTTTTCTTTTTTCTAGTCAACAGTTATCGATTCGGAAGATATGTGGCTTGTTGAATTTAGTAAGTCCTTTTGATCAATAATAAAGCATCTGTCAGATTCAATTTTCTTGTTTTATAATCGTTCGAGCATATAATTTGCATTCGAAATTTATCTTCATATAGATGTATTCGAATTGATATGTCAAGGAGAAAAAAAATTGATTACTAATTGTCATTTTGATTTATATTCATCTGACTCAGTTTGATTTATACATATTAAGTACAAATAAAAATTAGTAGATATGACTAATCTAGAAAAATATAGATGTTTCATACGTACTTAATTACTATAATCGAAAGTTTCTATTTATATATTTAAAGATATAAAAAAATCTATAATCTTGTTTTAAATGAAAACTTTTTGACATTTAAATAAATGATTCTTTTTTATTTTTCTATTTTTTAGTGGCTCCATGGTGTGGTCGTAAGTATTTAGTCTAATAGAATTTTTAGATTTATATATGTATATTTAATAGATTGCAAGAATTTAGCACCTGAATGGGCTCGTGCTGCAATAGAACTTAAAGGTAAAGTTAAATTAGGTGTTGTTGATGCAACTGTTCATACACAATTGGCACAACGATATGGAATCCAAGGTTTTCCAACAATAAAATTTTTTCCATCTGGTAGAAAAGATGGTCAAGCTGAAGAATATGATGGTGGACGAACATCAAGTGTATGTTATTATTTATTTATATAATCAAAGCAAAAAAAACACAATCTTTCTTTTTCCCTTTTCAAATAGGATATTGTTGCATGGGCATTAGATAAATTTCAAGCAAATGTTCCAGCACCGGATGTTCTTGAAATAACAAATCAAGCTGTTTTAGATGATAATTGTGCTGAAAAACAATTATGTATAATATCATTTTTACCAAATATTCTCGATTGTCAATCAACATGTCGTAATGAACATTTAACAATGTTAAAAAATTTTGCTGAAAATTATAAACGTAATCGTTGGGGTTGGTTATGGGTTGAAGCATTTCGTCAACAAAAACTTGAAGATGCTGTTGGTATTGGAGGTTTTGGTTATCCAGCACAAGTTGCTATTAATACACGTAAAGGAAAATATGCTGTTTTAAAAGGTGCATTTAGTCAAACTGGCATAAGTTCATTTTTAAAAGAATTATCAGCTGGTCGTTTAACAAGTCCACTTGTACCATTAAATGGTGTAGCTGAAGGTAAATTACCAACAATTATTGATAGTGAACCATGGGATGGTCAAGATGGAAAATTGGATTTTGTTGAAGATATTGATCTTAGTGATGTTAATTTGGATGATGATGATGATGATGATGATAGTAATAAAAGAAAAAAAGTTGATTTATAATTTGTATAGATCATAAAAGAAAATTGAATGAAAAAAATAAAGAACCATATACATTTAGCGTCCATGCTTTTTTATTTATTTGCCTCGTTTTGTTTTTCTGTTTGTTAAGTGTGTATGTGAGAATATGCTTAAGAATAATTGTTATTTCGCTTGTTGTTTTTATTTCTCTTCTTCTTATTTGTCTATCGTAGGTTAATAAAACACAAAAACAAGTTGATAACATCATATTTATTTATTTAGTTATAATTTATAGAAGAAATTTTAGGATGGGTATAATTTGAATTAATAATAATTAAGGTGTTTTGTCCTTTTCGTTTGTTTTCATTTTTTTCTCTCTCGTATATTTCGAACCTTTTTATCCTATGATGTTGATTAACAATGAGTGTACTTTGCCCTCTCATGTATTCTTTCTTTTTTCTTTCATTTTTTTACCAAGTAATGTTCTTTTCTTTTTTATTCTTCGTTCTTCATCGCACTCGAGTCGATAAATCAGACAACCTTCTATTTTTTGTCGTTACTTCATAGTATTGCTTCTCGTCCCGTTGTACTATGTGAATGAATGTATAGAATTAGATTATAGACAGAAAAAAAAAGAGGAACTCTTATTCTAACCTATTAAATGTATATTAAGTATGATTATTATTATTATTATTATTTGATAAGTATGTAAATTTTGATTACTTTTATTCATTAAATTCTATTCTATTGAGTATAAGTATCTTTATATATTTGTTATTTATTTAAAGATAAAACGAATCGTACAAAGTACAAATTTTGAATAATTTGATACTAGTTATTTTTCTTCTTATCATACACTATTAAAAGTCAAGTGTTTAGAACTCTATACGCCCTATCTTCTATATTTTTTTCTTCTTCTTCTCTTTTTTGTTGCTTGATACTAATGACGTAATAATTTTTTTTTCAACTAGGACGAGAAAAATAGTACGAGACAAACTTTATCCTATAAGTATGACAAGAGAAAGCACGTGAGCACCTTGTTAACAGAGAGTCTGATGTAATGATGTGTCTTTATGTATTTTATTTTTCTTTTCTTTGATTAATCAATCAAGTATAGAATAAATAGATGACTTTATTTCATTTTAATATTATTATTATTCAAATAATTGATCTATACAAAAACAAAAAATTAATTTTTTTAAATTTTTATCATTGATATTTTAGATCTGTTTGCCATTGTTAAAGTTAAAATTATACAGTGTGAAGTTCATTATCTAGCCATTCTTCAAGTATTCAGGTTAGTATCTATTAATTATCATTTTAAATAACAGTCATTTATAGTAATATAATATAAATTTACTCATAATCAATCAATTGTCATATACACTTAAAATATATTTGTATGATTAATTCATTTGACGTTCATAGTGAATATATACAGCTGTTTTCAATAAGATTATTCAATAGGGGGCTTGGTATGCATCAATATATGATATGAAAGAACATTATACAGCAGTAAATAAACTTGTTCTGACAGCGTCTATTATTAACTCATGCTTATTTACACATTTCTCTCTATCGCATTCTGTTCCTGCCATGCAGAAAACATAACACTAACGTGCTGTCTGTGCACGTGTTAACAAGATGTCTTACTGTGCGAAGAAAAAGAAGAAGAAGAAGAACTCAACTTTATTAATAGACAATGTTCGTTAATTTTTCAAACATATGAAAAATATTTCTTTCCTAAAGTCTTATTTCTCTCTCTTTTCAAACATGCGTGAAATAGTCTATTTAGTGGAACTATTAGAACTCTAGGTGATGACAGTATCGTACAAAAACAAAATGTATAGATATATACTATAGATTACTTTTTCTGTTTATCATCTGGACGAAGAAAATTATTGTTTATTAATACTTTGAATTCTTTACAGCTAATAGATTTTCTAAGATTTTTATATATCGAAGAAAATAAGTATGTCGTTTTGCTATTAGAATAATCATATGTTTATACATATCTAATGATACATTTATGCGTATAAGTGTACTTTTCATACATATTGATTTGTTTTGCATCGTTGATACAGGTCGCTTATTATTTCTTTATTTGCAAAAGTATATATTGTTATTCTCTTTTTTTTTTTTGTTATTCTATTCATCTCGTGGAAATGTCTGTTCAGACATAACCAATCTCTTTCATATTGAATAGTTCAATGAGATATTTATTGGCTACAAGCATATACACGTCTATTTATTAATGTATAGATTGACCCCAGAGCGAAAAGTAAAAAACAAGAGAAAGAGAGAGAGAGAGAGAAAGAATTTTTCTTCAACACATTAGTGCTACAAAATACTGTTACTGCAGCTCTTCATACACCTTGTAGTCAAACGAATCGAGCGAAAAAAAAAGACGAGAAAAGTGGTACTTGAAAACAAAACACATTCGAAGTGTTATTTTCTTTTTTTTCTATGACCAAACAAAATAAGTTAACAGTAGGCTTATACATTTAGAAACGAACTGAAATACAATTTTCTTTTTCTTTTCTTTAGGTAATCAATTACCGATGTCCAAAGTTCTTTCAAAGTTTGTTTTTATTTTTATTTCTTAATTTAATATATTTACTTAATTTATTTAGATAATTTTATTTTAATTATGCAATCATTATCTGTTTATGCTCGATTATTTGCACGTGCTATAAGTAGTACAGAAGCTGAACATATTCTTTTTAATGGTTTATTACGTTTATCATCATCCACTGTTCATACAACACAAACTTCCAATAATCTTGCTATAACATATCCATCAACAGCAATTAAACATGCTGTACATCTAGTCACTGTTTCATCGGGTTATTCAAGTCATGATAATAATGAATATGAATGTATAATACAAACAAAACGACGAAATTCTTTAATAGAACAAAAATCACATCCATCGAATGTTTATGGTGATGATGCTTTTTTTATAACAAAACATCGTCTAGGAGATTTTCTTGGTATTTATTTGAGAATAAATCAAAAATTAAAAAAAAAATTTTTTTAATAAAACTTTTTTTTTTTTTTTTTCAAAATTAAGGTGTTGCCGATGGTGTTGGTGGTTGGCGTGAACATGGTATTGATCCATCATTATTTTCACGTTCATTAATGGATGCATGTAAATCATTAATTGATAATAAACTTATTGATTTAAATCCATCAACATTAAAAGAATTATTATCCAAAGGTTATAAACAATTATTAGAAGATAAACAATGCATTATTGGTAATAAAAAATATTTTACAAACAAAAAAAAAAAAAATAAAAATAAAAAAACAAAAGAAAACAAAAACAATATTCTCATTTAGGAAGTAGCACAGCATGCATTGTTGCATTACATAACGAAGAAAGAATATTACATACAGCTAATTTAGGTGATAGTGGTTTTGTTGTTATAAGAAAAAATACAATTGTACATCGATCACAAGAACAACAACATTATTTTAATTCACCATTTCAATTAGCTATTCATCCAACAGTTAAAGATCCACGTTTAATCGCTGATAGGTATGAATAAAATAAAAAGCAAAAAAAAAATATTTTATTTTACTCTTTGTTTTTTTTCAAATTAAATTCTATATAGAGAATATATATTATTATAAAATTGACGTTTTCCTTTTTTTTTCGACTATTAATAATCAATAGTCATAGGTAAATGTATCGAGGGAACAAAAAAAACAAAAAAAAAAAAATAACAATCTCTATTGCTTTTTGCATTAAAAAAATAAGGGCATGAATATTTTTGATCACCAAAAAAAGTTGAAATTGGTCACCATTTTTTTTTGTTGCGAAATGATCACCAAAATAAGATACAAATGATCACCATTTTTTTTTGTTGTGAAATGATCACCAAAAAAAGAGACATTTGATCACCAAATTTATTATGAAGAAGCAAATAGAAAATATTTCTGGCCTATCTTTTCTTCGTTCATATGTAATCAAATTGTGTAATTTAATTTCATCAACTGATGCTTGAGGATAATTAATGGCCAGCGTTTTTTTAATTTGAGTTTCTGTTAATCCGCATTTGACGTGATTAGACACACATTGACGTACTGATGATGGTAACCTCGTCGTTGGATTTCTTTCATTTTCTTCATGTTGATGTGTATTTCTTGACATTATTTTAATTGATTTCATATTGTTGTCAGCCACAATAACTTTTATTTCAAATGAGCATAATGGATATTTTCTGTATTTGCTACATTTGAATGAGTATTTGATTTCGTTTTTTAAATCTGATCGCCGATATTGACAAACATTGTACTTTTCTGTAACGAATTCTTTTGTTTCTTCATATGATTTAGCAATGTGTAGCAATTTCCATTCATTATTAGACATTTTTATGGAATAATTTCTCATGGCAAAATATTCTTTTTAAACTATTTTTATTAATTGGATCATTTCAACAAAATGAGTTTAGCTCAATCAGAGTTAACTCTGTTATATTAATCAATTAAAGTTCACGATAAACATTTGATTTATCAAAACCATGTTATCTATATCTCATAAAAGTAATATATTATCGAACATTACAAGTTAATTAACTTGGTGATCAAATGTCTCTTTTTTTGGTGATCATTTCACAACAAAAAAAAATGGTGATCATTTGTATCTTATTTTGGTGATCATTTCGCAACAAAAAAAAATGGTGATCAATTTCAACTTTTTTTGGTGATCAAAAGTATATTTCTCGAAAAAATAATGTTACTATTGTTGACTTTATTTTTTTCTATATAGAAAATTTTTTAGTAGAGCTTCTTTAAGAATACAATGTGAAACTCATATATATGTTCTTTTGACCACATTATATTAATACAATATATGTTAAAGAAAAACAAAAAATCATTATCAGACTATAGTTGTTTTCCAAGGATAATTGATCGTCAGGGACTTATTTATATCTATATTTCGCGAACAGAACAGATTTTTTTATTTTTGTTTTATTAATGCTCTATTTTTTGTTTATCTTATTGCTTTTCATTTTCATATTTCTTGTTTTTTCTTAATTTAACATTATTATTTTAACCTTTAATTCAATTGGCAAATAAATCTGTTCTGCATATTGATAATATCTACAACGGATTTCTTAATGCGCTATTATTTATCGTGATAAATTCAGAAATACTGATATTAACTATTTCTCAAAGTTATGACTTGATCAATGCCCGCCTTTTTTCTGTTGGTTATATGATGATATGACAAATCAACACATCATTATTCCAGTAGCCTCCAGGATTTTTTTTTATCAAATCCTACCATATATTCAGAAGAGATTATATCAAGGAGACGTACCTAGATGAAGACATGAGCTGAAACGGCACTGAACTTGACGAGTAACTTTTCTGTACTATGTCTCTCTCTTTTGGGTATAGTTAAAAATGTATTATATACATAGGTCTCGATATGGAAGGAGGAGATGGTGTGAACTAGTCCTTGATACTTTTGCGAAACTTTCAAGCTGGTATTGGAAAACTGCATGTCAGGTTTTAGAAGACTACTTTTCTCAATTACTTTCTGCTAGACAGACTGTCGCTGATTGTTCGTCAAATTTTTAGCCACCTTCGATTTTTAAAAACTATCGAAAATTCTGATTATATGTTATCAACAGATAAATCTGTTAGTTTCAAAATTGCAGTGATCTCTTGAGAGTTGCAAAAGCTTTGATTTAAATTTATACTTATTGTTTTCTTCGAACATATATATGAGTTTCACAAAAATTTAGAAAAAGAAATTCTTTATAGATTTGATTATAAGATTTTTTTTTTTTTTGCTTTTCTTCTAGTCCTGATTTAGCATCAGTGACATCATTTCATGTTGAAGAAAATGATTTTATTGTTATTGCAACAGATGGTCTATGGGATAATTTACCTGATGCTACAATACTTGCAGAAATAAAACAAATTAAAGTAAGTTAGTTTTATACATGAATTATTGTATCGGGTGATTTTGGTTGTTTTATTGCTATTCGACGTTGTGATGAGGTTTCAATAAGTGATAAACGATCTTGTTCATAATCATTATCATCAAAAATACTTGATGAAGCATTATCATAATCGGATCCTGTTAAAGAATTATTTATACTTTGACTTCGTCGATATTTCGAAGAATTTGAAATATCTTAAAGAAATAAAAATATCTTAAAATAGATATTGAAAATAAATATCAATAAATTACCTTTCGGTTCTGAATATGCTTGTAATGATGATTCAGCATCAATATCTTTCATTGGTATATCATCAAATGGTGAAATAATAAGTGTATTTAATGTTGGTGTAAATAATATTAAAGGATTTAAATTTTCATTTTCTGTTAATAATTGATCATTTGTTAAATTTTTTCGTCGATTTGCATATGATTTTGTTAAACTTATTTTACATCGTTGTACAAGACCAAGTAGTGTACATGAAAATAATATCAAAAATACAATTCCAAGCATTGGTGCTGCACCAACAAACGCAGCAAGCATCCATTTTGGAATGTATATATTCATAATGTAATAAATATCTCGACACTTACACTTGCTTTTCTTTCTTATGTTAATGTGGTATTTACTAAAAAAAAGAACCGTTTTAGATATATGGTTTACAGGCAGCTGATAGATTTGTTATTTTAATACGTCAAAAGACGAAGAAGAAGACACGAAGAATTATATCCAAAGAATGTCTGACATGCATTCATCATATTCATCTCAGTGCTAAATCTCATGCTATAAGATTGAAGGAGACGCGCTAGGAAAACTATATTATCTTGCTTCTTTTTTTTTTTTTTTTTTTTGTAGAAACTATCGCGTTGTTTCTGATTGCAGTTGATTGACATGCGAGAAATGTTACAGCAGAAGCTGTCGTTTTGTCAGCATGTTGTAAACAGAATTTTATTAGGAAGAGAGAGCGTATAGAAGAGGAAAACGGAAGAGAGAGAGAGGGAGAGAGAAAAAGGAAAGCAGACGATAAATGAGATTCTCTCGAGAGTAAAATACAGAATATTAATTTGCTTTTTTTTTCAATTATTATTGTTTTTCTTTCTAGGAACCAACATTGGATAATTTACAACGAATAGCACATAGTTTAGCTAAACGTGCATTAAAAAATGGCCATGATCCAAATTTCTATTCACCATTTGCTCGAAGTGCTAAAAGATCATTGGGAATTAATATATGTGGTAAAAAAAAAAAACGAAGATTAATTTTATTTTTTTTTGTCAGATAAATATAAATATTAGGTCATTTATATGATTAAATATAATTTAATAACTTTGTCTATGTTATATTATAAACAAATCATAACGTGAAAAATAAGCAATAAAAAAAAAAATCTGTTTTGACAAGCAAATGTTTTCTTCTATCATTCCTAATATAACGTACTATGAAAAAATTATTTGATAATAATTTGATAGTTTATAAACAAAACAAACTATTTATCATTATATGTTTTTGTTTTCTTTGAAATAGATTTAGATTTCAAACTTTATTATCTTGAAGTAATTTTTCTTATCATTAGTTGAAAACTCAGATATAGGAAACTATTATCGATTTATTATCATGTAACTTTGCCTGTTCGATAATTGATTAATTAAAAAAAAAAAGAAAAAGCTCAATTATTTGTCGTTACTCATGAGATTTGTTTTTTTTGTTGAGAATAACAATAAAGATATTGAAGTATTTTGTTAAATAGATTGATTAAACATGCACTACAATGTAAATAAACCAATTCATGATTAAAGGAACAAACAGCTGACTAGGGAGAATAATAAAAAATTTAATATATATGATTAAATAATAGAATAATTTATCAGAACATGTCATTCTCATTCTTTAGATAGAATAAAACATGTAACATGATCAATCTCATATTCTCAATTATTTGTTTTGTAGAAACTTATATTAAATCATATAATTTGTTTAATTTAGGTGGAAAACCCGATGATGTAACCGTATTACTTGCTGTTGTAAAATCGACCTGTCTGTAATTATATATATATATAAACTTGATCAATCTGCGACGAATGCTAAATGTGGCGCTATGTGGTACATATTCTTTTTTTTTGTGTCTTTTGTTAAATCTAGTCGTCAGTAAAATATCCAATAGTTCTTAGCCACACACGTAGCTAGACCTATTATCTAGCATATATATACATTTAGAATTCCAGCTTTATATATGTCATACAATCACTGTGTAATTTAATTCCTTGCCAAACTAAAAAGACAAAAATAAAGTTTTCTTTTTTTCTTTTTTATTGTTCTTCTCTTTATTATTGTTGTTCTTTCGTTTTTTTTGTTCTTGTTTTTGTTCTCATGCAAATTTTCCCGATGCGTACTATGTATGTAGTTTCGGCAACCGTTGATTGTTATTCATTCTAGTACTTTTACTCTCACGAATTCTTCTTTCTGTTTTTTTTTCTTTCATTTCAAAAAAAGAAAACAAAAAACAAAAAAAAATCAGAGCTTCAATTAAAACATAGAAGACGAAAAGAGAAGACAATAAAAAAAAAAAAAAAAAAATTAAAAATAAACAATTATTTATAGATATGTGGAATATAACAGAAAAATTTATTAAACAATGTTCATTAACACTTGGACAATTTGATAGTCAATCTGTTAATTTACTTGTAAGATTATTTCATAATCAAGATGCTTGTAGACAATTAATTAGTTTATCAAATAATTTAAAAGAAAAATTTGAAAATTTATTAACAACTAAAAGAGATTATGATGAAAGATATAATGATACACCATTAACAAGAATTGAATTAGCAATAATGATACATTTTAAAGAAAAATATTTATCTGAATTAATAATTGATAATGATAATAATCAATTAAAATCGAATATAAAATTTTCTATTGATGATGAATTAAATTTAGCATATTGTTTTTTATTAGCACAAATTGATGATCGTTTATCAAAAGAAAAATTAAATGAATTAAAATTTTTATTTAATATTCGACAATCTATTGATAGTTTATTTGATATATATAAAAATTTAAATGAAAATTTTCCAAAATTTTTTTCTTTATTAATTCATTGTAAATTTTTTGCACAAAAATTAGTTATTGTTGATCAAACTATTCAAAATTTTCAATTATTTATTCAAAGATATGAAGATTTTATAATTACATTTGAAAAACATTATAAATCATTATTATTTAATGAAAATAATTATACACAAACCGATGCTATATTAGATCAAAATGATCCATATAAAGTTTCATCATTTATGACAAAATTTTTATCATCAAATCGTGAACCAATAAAATTACCAAGTAAACAACATTCTTTTTATTTTCAATACAAAGAAAAAAAAAACAACTCATCTCTTTTCAATAATAATTTTAGTTTCATCACCTGTAGAACAAGTTCAAAAAGTACCTATATCTCGTCCAGTTATTCAACAATCGGTATCACCACCACCACCATCATCATCATCATCATCAAACGTGCCAGGAAAAGGTTTATGTGTAATAATTAATATTACAGCATTTAGTTCATCTTATGATATTGAAACACCTAAACGAGCAGGATCAGAGAAAGATGTTGATTTAATTAAAGTTATTTTTAAAAAATTAAAATTTACAACATTAGAATGTAAATTTGATTTTAAAAAAGATGATCTTGATAGAGCATTAAATCATATTGATGATCAAGGTACATATGGAAATTTTGATTGTCTTGTTATATTTATTATGTCGCATGGGTAAAATTTTTAGGTTTTTTTTGATTATTCGTATTATTTATTTTATTTTATTTTTATAGACTTTTACATTCATTTTTTACAGCTGATTCAAAAGAAATTATTATACGAGATATTATAAAACGTTATGCTGATTCATCAACAACAACAATTTGGACAGGAAAATCACGTCTATTTTTTATTCAAGCATGTCGATCAGAATGGCCAGAACATATGCAATGTACTAAACGTGAAGGTGTTACAATGAATGATTTATCACCAAAAATGATTGTTGCTTATTCTTGTAGTGCAAGTGAAGCATCAAAACGAAGTCCAACTAAAGGATCATCTTTTATTCAAGTACTTTGTGTTATGTTACTTCGATATAGTCATTAGTATGTATTCTAATTATGAAAATTTTATTTTTATTTTGTAAATTTATTTATTAGTTTGAAAATTCAAAATATTCTCGATTGGACTGCTAAATTTGTTATTAAACGTGATGAAGTTATTAGTGAACATCAGGAAAAACCAGTATCTCTACAACAACCAGAATATATTGAACGAAATTTTAGTTCAAATTTTCGATTTTCAAATAATAGTTTATATGATACATTTAATTCATGGGATTATGAAACAAAATTATCTTTAAAAATTCCTTTAAGAATTTGGACAGAAATTTATGATTTAATACTTCAAAATCCTATAAATAATAATTAATATTATGCATTATATGTATAATTTGTTTTTTTGTTTTAAACAAAATTTTTTATATGCGTATATCTCGCTTTTATATTATTTTTTTTTTGCTATTGAATTGAATATTTTTATGCATATATATATTTTATTAAAATAACCAAGAGAACAGCTATTTGAAGTATCAAAATCAATATTTCAACTATCTTGACAATTGAAATATATGGAAGTAAATCACTCAGAATTAGATCAACTCATACAAAATATCCATCGACTATCATTGAGATAACACTAAAGAATACGTATTTTAATCATAATTTCGACAAAAATAATGAACGCTCTATTGTAACACACAATCAAAAAGAAATGTTGAGACGTAGAGGTAGAAATTTTGATTCAACTTCTCCTCCTTCTCCACAGACATAACCGCGAAATCAAAGGACCTGATCAAAAAGCATCAAGTTTTTCTGCACTCTGGAAACATTATAAAATGAAAATACTTTAGTAGTATACAAATGCTTTGATATTGGTTTATCGAGATCTCGTTCCTTTTGTGGACAAAAATTTAAGAGAAGGTCCACTAGAAGACCCACCAGTGTTATACATAAATGACCGGCACTAAATTGTTTTTGGGGAGCATTTTTTTAGTTTAAATGAAAGATCATATCGAGAAACATATAAATCCAAAATATTACGATTTTCTGCTCTACTTCAGAAATATGCCAAAGATCATAATCCTTCATTTTATGGGAAAACCATGAAAAGTCAAAGAAAAAAAAAGGCTTTTTTCAAATTCTGATCGTATTATGAGCTTTTCTTTGCGTTTGTTCATCGCTAAGAGTCTGGAAATGTCTCAAAAGACACAGAAATTCAAGGGCTTTCAGAAACTGGATTGATTTTTTTGGGATGCAATGATTCGATGAGGTTAGAGGTAAATTACTAGCAAAATGCCACTCATAAACCATAGATCCCCTCGCTGTGTGAAGGCGTTATCAATTACTAACAGTTATTTCTAATCACTATTGACATAACCTATTTTGTAGAGCACTCTTTTCTGCATCTTTTGAGACATTCTCCGATTCTCAGCGATGAACAAACGCAAACGAAAGCTCAAAATACGATCAGAATTTGAAAAAAGCCTTTTTTTTTCTTTGACTTTTCATGGTTTTCCCACAAAATGAAGGATTATGATCTTTGGCATATTTCTCAAGTAGATCAGAAAATCGTAATATTTTGGATTTATATGTTTCTCCATATGATCTTTCATTTAAACTAAAAAAATACTCCCCAAAAAAAATTTAGTGCCGGTCGTTTCTGTATAACACTGGTCGGTCTTCTAGTAGACCTTCTTTTAAATTTTTGTCCACAAAAGGAACGAGATCTCGATAAATCAATATCAAAGCATTTGTATACTACTAACGTATTTTCATTTTATAATGTTTCCAGAGTGCAGAAAAATCTGATGATTTTTTATCAGGTCCTTTCACTGCAGGATTAGTATGATAGTTGTTCTTTACTTTTGTTTTATAGTCACTATCATACATATATTATGATAAATATCTTTCATCATTGACATGTATTAACATTAGATAGGAATTTATAAACCGAAACACAATTCACATTGAATAGTCCTCTATTATAATACCAGGAGCTCGATCGTGTTTCACATTTTAATCTTGCATGGATTGCATTAACAGCTTTTTTTAGTACACAAACTTTTCCATTGAATATATTTGATTTTCTATCAAAAGAAAAAAATATTTATGAATTTATTTGAATATGTAAATAGATATTAAGATTTATTAATCTTATTCTTCTTTGTCGCTATTTTTTTCTTCTTGATCTATTATTCAATAAAAAGAAAACAAAACAAACTGTTTCGGTTTATTCACGTGTAGGTGATGAAATAGACGAAAGAACTACATAAAACGAGCCAAAAAAAAAACAAGAAATAATAGTTAATAAAAATCATTTCGTCTTTTTTTATGAAATAGAATAATAATTAATATTGACGATATCGTCGCCATTCAAAAAAATTATCATCAAACTATAATAAAATTAAATTAGAGAAAGATAAAAAAGAAAAAAAAAAGAAGTTCTTAAATATTCAAAACAAATAAGAATTCACCTGTCTTGATCTTTGTGGTTTTCTCCATTCAAATGGAATTCGTTGATTATAATCATTAAATGGTAATTGTTTTAAATTTGCCGAAGGAAAATTATTTTGTGGTACTTTTCTTGATATTAATGATCCATCAATACGTTTTTGACGTTTTGTTAATGGTTTATAATAAGAACGTGCACCATTACAATTCGTTCCATCAAAACGATCCGTACAACCTTGTTTCGTATCATTAAATATTGTACCAGGTGGACATAAAAATATATTATCACGATTACCAATACATACATGATAAATATTACACCAATCTAAATCCGCAAACATATTTTGTTGATCTTTATTTATACAATCAAAACGTGTTCTAAAATTTACAAAGAAAATATATTTAAAAAAAAAAAATTTTCTTCTTATTAATATTTTACGGAAATTGTCCAGTAGCATCAACACCTTCGAATAATATTGATGCTTGTTCAGATTTTGGTTTTGAACGTAGAAAACTTCGTGGTGTTAAACATAATGTACCTTTTGTTTGATCACTAACATCTCCTTGATAATCACATTCTTTTTTCTTTTCATTAAAAACAAGACCAGCTTTTAATAAAACACAAAAAAAAGAAAACAAATTATTTTATTAATATGATGAAAGAAAAAAAAAAAAAAGTTCTACATACGACTACATTCCATTGTTACACCAACACCTTGTTCATTACATTGTAAATAAAGATCACAATAACGTTGATGTTCAAATAGACCAGCACCTTTACTTATACAAAATTCTGAACGTAAATTTGCTAATATATCGGTTTCAGCTAATTTTTCAACAAAAAATCTATAGAAAAAAAATTAACATGTACGATGATGTTTTATTTTTCTTTCTGCTTATTCATCTTACAAAGCTTTTCCATGACAATCTGCTCCATCCGGTGATCGTTCTTTAGACCAATCACATCTACCTGTTGTTTCACTTTCTTGACGCCAAACCTATAATCAATCAAAAATTTCAATATATTGATTTTTTGTTAAATATGCTGATCTAACGAGAGAACATCTCCAAATATCAACTCATTTTTCGACCGAGACGAATATTCATTTAATGAGTGCTAAAGAGTAATAGACAAGTATGAAATAATTTGGTTACCTAGGCCTTCGTTCTCTAGATATTGGACTTGTACTGGGTATGTCAAAAAAACCTGTGGTCTCCCTAAGGTCATGTGAAAGTTTCGATTTCGAACTTTGCACGAACAAAATTTTTAATGAGATTAATTGGCTTTTAAATATTAGACAATTTCGAATATTTAATATCTCACGATAGGAGATACTAGAAAAGTTACAACTTGTCAAATGAAATAATCTCATTTAAGAACTTTGTTCGTGTAAAGTTTGAAATCGAAAGTCGATTTTCTACATGATCTGAGGACGACCACAACTTTTTTGTTGAAAAATCTAGTAAAACTCCGATATCACAAGAACGAAAGCCAGGAAAAGCAAACGATTCTAGACTTTATAATAGTTTAATTATGAGATTCTTACTCGGTTTTAGATTTCTATGAATAAAACTACATGTTTTTTTTTAGTCATCTTTGCAAAACATTGTAATCAAACGGTTAAGATTTTTATTTAACTTACTAAACCTCTTGTACAATATTGAATTGTATCAAATCCACCATGACAATTATGATAAACATTACAATAATATGAATCAGCATAATCACCATTTTGTTTTACCATACAAAATTTAGTTGAACGTCCTCGAGTATTATTTGTACCTGGACGTACTTCATCATCAAGACCTTCGGTATCTATATTCAAAAATCTTTTAGTATGATAAAATTTTTACAAAAAAAGTAAAAACAATAACAAACCAATTAATTTTTCTCGACCTTTACAATCAACTTTATCTTCCCAATCACATTCTTTTGTTTCTTCATTAAACATAAGTCGATTTGGACAACGTTTTGGATAATCCATAGCTGCTTGACATTGATGAAATATATTACAAAATCTAATATCTGGATAATTTCCATCCGGCTATTTAAAAACAAAAAAAAGAGAATCAATCATTATACAATATAAAAATTATAAAAATACATACTAAACGCTTACAAAAATTTTCTTTAATACCTTCCCACATATAATCAGGTTTACCATTACAATCAACATTAATAGCCCAATCACATTCATTTTTATCAGCTGAATATCTTAAATTATTTTGACATGTAAATACAACATCTTTTCCATTTTGACATATATAATAACGATTACAATATTGTTCATGAGGAAAATTTCCATTTGGCTAAAACCAACAAAAAAAAGAGAAAAATTTTTTTTATTTCGAAAAATCAAACTCTCATGAAAATTTTTCTTTTTTTTGTTTTTGTTTTTACTTTATCTGTACAAAATCCATTATTATCTTCACCTTCAAGTAATATATTTCCACCTTTACAAATTGTTGATTCAGGCCAATCACAACGTTTTAATGTTTCATTAAATACTAAACGTTCTGGACAACGTAATTTAACATCAATATCAGCCATACATTGATGATAAACATTGCAATCTATATTTATAAAAAAAAAAAACAACAGAATAAATTTAAGTCAATAAAAACTAAAACGTTTTTTTTTTTTTTATCAAATAAAATTTACAAAGTGGATCGATATAAAACCCATCAGTTTTTTCCATACAAAATAAACTTGATTCCATTGAAAGAGCAACAAGTGTACGTCCTGTACAACGAACATTATTTGACCATTCACATTTTTGTTGTTCATTATCCCAAAATAATTGATGTGGACATTGACGCATATTATCAGCACCTGATTCACATACATGATAAACATTACAATATTCTTCATGTGGATATGATCTATTTGATTTAAAAACAAAAAATAACAACAGTGTTATATATTCTAAATAGTTCAAATTAACGGAGTGCTTTTGTTTTTTGTTATAATCATCCTAGTGAAATGTACTGAGTTCAATGGTATCTGTGTATTGAACCAGTTATCAATAGGGTATCTTTTTGGGTACCTTGCTAAGAATTGTTTGACTACTCAAGTACTACAAATTTATAAAATACTCAGAAATGTTTCTGTCCCATATTGTTAATAGAGTATCCTAAATTCAATACAATTACTAGAGTTCAAAGAACACAAAAAATACATTCTTTGAGAGATAAGTAAATTCAATTTAAATTATTTCTATTGTAATCATCTGAAAATAATACTACAAGGTATATATTTGAGAGAAAATAATTGTTTTCATAGATTTTCACCATACTTATAATGACTTTCTACGAACCGAAATATTAATAGATGAATTTGAAATAAATCGTGTTTTGCGTAATATTAAATGTTCAAAAAAAATCGATTTCATTGTAAGTTTTTCGAATTGAATGATATCTCTTATTACATAGAACACTTAGAAATCTTATCTTATACAAGTAAATTGAAATTAATTTTTTGATAAAAAAAAAATGCAGAAGAGCATTCATAGAATTTCGAGAGTAAATCATTCATTTTTATTCAAATATCATTATGATATTTTATATTAAAAGAAACCTATCATTATAATTATGAAATTTAATATATAAAAATGTCAAAATAAGCATAATAATATTTCATCATTCATCTTCTTACCCATCGGTTCTTCCTGTACAAAATGTTGAATTAAATTTATTTTCGTTAGGTAACATTTTTTTTGGTGGACCACAACGAACAGATGATTCCCAACCACACTCTTTTCTCCTATCATCCCATTGTAATTCACCAGTACAACGTACAATATGATCAGTACCACCAATACAATGATGAAATGCATTACAATAAGTTTCAGATCCATAACGACCATCTTGTCGATTTGTACAAAATGATGTTTTACCTTGAACAACAGGCATAGTTTTACCTGTACAATTGACATTTGTTGCCCTTAAAAAAAAAAGAAAGAATAGAACTTAACATGAAAAAAAAATGTATATATAAATAAACATAATGTTAGAATTGATATATTTACCAATCACACATTTTCTTTTTTTCATTCCAAGCTAATTGATTTGGACAATGTTCAATATAATCAATACCAGCTAGACAATGATGATATACATTACAATATAATGGATCTTCATAATAACCATCAGCACCTAAAACACATTCTAATGTTCCATTAACTATATTTGCTTGTAATCGAAATGAAGAAGTTGATGAAGTTGTTCTTTCCGTAGTAGTTGTAGAAGTCGTCGTCGTCGTCGTTGTTGTTGTTGTTGTCGTTGTCGTCGTCGTTGTTGTTGTCGTTGTTGTTGTTGTTGTAGTTGTGGTTATTGTTCTTATAGTAAAAAGTATTTTATTGTCAGTATTTATATTATTATTATTATTATTATTATTATTATTATTATGATCAGCATCGAAAAAAGCTGATAAACGTGATCCACAATTAACATGTGATGCAAGTTCACAATCACGAGATATTTCAGAGAAAAGATAACCTTCTGGACAAAGTGATGGTTCAGGTAAACCTGATTGTGTACATGTAAAATACATATTACATAATCGTTGATCAGGAAAACGAATACCAGTTACACCTGATGGACAAGTAAAACCAATTTGTGCAAGTAATGATTGAATATTAGCATTTGGTAATGGCGACAGTGGTGGTGATGATGGTCGTGATGGTGATAAATGTTTATTAGGTATAAATGATCCCGTTCGAATTCCATTTGATTTATGAATTAGTCGAAATTTAGTTGTTGCTTTTGTTGTTATTGGTTTTGTTCGAGAAGATGCTTGTGTATTTGGTAATTTAAAAAATACATTTGATGGCGATGCTCGTAATAGTTTTGTTGTTGAAGCTAAAAATAATAAATGTTAATTTAGAAATTAAAAAAAAAACAGAAAATTATTAATTTAAAAGAAGATTAACTTACAAGTAGTAGTAGTTGTTGTTGTTGTTATTGTTGTTGTTGTTGTTGTTGGTTTTTTTCTTGGAATATTATTAATAATTTGTGAAGGATTTTGATAATAATTTGGATTTTGATGCCAAAGATGATTAGGTATTGGATATGGTCCTGGACCAGGTAAACCAGCTTGTGCTGCTGCTTCAGCAAGTATAACAGGATCAGGTAATGATGGTTGCATATATTGACTTTGATTAGAATTAATTGTTGAAAAATTATTTTGTAATTGTGACCATAAATTAGGTGGAAGTAAATGAATAAGTGATTGCATAGTTTTTCTATCTGTTAAATGTTGTGCTGCTTCTTCAGGTGTTGTATTATAAATATCATATGGTTTATGATTAATTAAATTTTTACCTTGAAAATAAGTTCGATTTAATAAATTAATAATTAAATCACTATGATTTTTTTTAATAAATGTTTCTATTGTTGATGTATTATTAAAAATATTTTCTGTTGTTTCATTAATATATTCATATGTTGATATTGATTCATTATCTATTGAATAATTTAATGTTGATAATAATGTATTATTATCAGTAGACGATAGAATTATTTCATTTGAAGATGAAGTTTCATTATTATATAGAATAGTATCAGTCGATAGAAATGAATGAGTACTGTTTTGTATTGATGTTATCTGTTCAGTTGTTATTAATGTTGAATTTAATGTTGTAGAAATAATTTCTGTTGTTATTGTTGAATCTAATGAAGTTGATATTGTTGATGTTAAATTTGTTATTAAATTATCAGTAGTTATATCAATATGAATTGTTGATGTATCGAATAGAAATTGAATTGATGGTGTTGTTGTTTGAAAAAAATCAAATTGAAATGGATCAAAACCATCATTAAAACGATCATCAGATTGTTCTTGTTGTTGATATGGTGATGGTGTTTCATCAATATTTGGATAATCAAATGCTTGAAGATAATTTGGAATATAAACTGAATGATGTTGAGCATTAAGTAAATCTTTTTAAGAAAAAAAAAAATAAAAAAAAAAGATTTTTCAATAAAAAAAATAAAACTAACCTACCTGTAATTAGATATATAAGGATGGTATAAAAAGAATAATACCACCATTTCAACATCGTTCGAAAATATTCAATTAATCAATACAAAAGAAAAAGAAAATAATGATGACGACGACGACGACCGGCGACAGCGGCCTAATCAAGTTGTTGTGTGTGCGGATTCAATTGCTCGAATTTCCCTCTTTACACGCGTATATACTTCGCGTCCCTCTCTATCTTTCTCTTTGTTTTATTCGTTTTCGTTATATTCCCTTTGCTTTGTGTGTATATGTGATTGTTTGTTTTACACTCGATCTTAATTGTGAAGAGAGGCGAAGGAGCTCCAATGTCCGGCGTGTATATATATATAGATATAGATATAGATATATATATTAGAGTAGAAGCATTGACAAGAGACAAAAGAGGAAAAGAAAGAATAATGAGTATAGAAGAAAGAAAAAAGATCACCTATCCTTTTTTTCTCGTCTTCTTCTTCTTCTTCTTCTTCTTCTTCTTTTTCGTCTGTCAACTTTCGAAATGATAGTATGTTGTACAGATTACGAATTGAACTAGTAAAAGTCATATGTATGTTTTGTTCAATTGTCACATAAGAATGAAAAAAAAAATTTACGAGGCAAGATTTACTAGAAGGTGACATTGAAAAGATCATGTTAGGTATTATATATATAATGTAAAAGTTCCACATATCATTGCGATAATTCTCTTTGTTCACGATTTTTTCTAATACCACAAAGTATGTTCAACAATAGCAAAGGTCGAGCTGGCTTAAAGTTTACATATACGTTTGCAAACATACATACTGTTGAATTTTTCTTTATTTCTTCTTCTTGTTTTTTTATTTCAAAGCATGTCAAAAGCCGATAGATGATGTAAAAAGAAATAAATCCTTCTCTTGTTCATTTATTGTCATTCTTTTGAATTCAACACATTTATTCATTTTGATTTAACATTTCAATGACATTCTTCAACTGATTATAACCTTGTAACCTTGTTCGGATTATCTTTTATGAATAGTGAAAGCTTAATAAGTACAATCAATAAGTGATATTGAGAACATGATAGATTAAGTATGATATCATTGCTGATAAATTTAGTAAATATTGAATAGAATCTTTGTTTTTCTTTTTTTTACAAAATTGTCACGTTCAGTGTCAGAAAAACGATTATAGTCATGGTTGCTTGCTCATTTCTATTTATGGCATGAAGTACGTTATAGTATATATCATTTGGTTTGATTTCTCTTCTTTCATTTCTTCATTCATTGATATTACAAACGCCTTGTTACGATCGATCATTTGTGTGTTTTTATATTCGTCTTGGTTGGTTGATGTGTTATTTTGTCCTTGCATTGATGAGTTGTTGTATGTGGTTTTCTTGTATTTAACTCGAATACTCAATCAAATTTATATTTCATATATTCTTAAAAGGTTGAATATAGAGACAGAAAAAAAAGAAGGGTAAGTAAGATAATACTACGATAGTGTTTTGCTCATGGATACTCTTTATCAAATTCAAATATCTTCTCAAGGCTGATAATATCCATAGGAAAATAAATGGTTATATTTCATTTAATTAATAATGTTAAATCAGCTTATTAACATAACTAGTTAGATTCCAACAATAATATTTGATTATTATAGATTATTTTGATTCATTTATTTACAAACTATATACTATGAAAGAAGTGATTGATTAGATAATAGAATAAAAATCAATTAACAATGACGACACTATTACCACGTGGTTATGGAAGCTTGCCTTCCTTTCAGTTTAGTTCACCTAATCAAATTCACAATCGATATTATAATGATACATATCCAAGATATGCAACATCTTTGACACGACACTATCCAACTCAGCCACTTTATCAACCACCTTTCTATCCTCCTGAAAAATATACAACAACTGATCTCTATCAAAATCAAAAACCTAGTGTCGGTGCTCAAGTTGAAGCATATTTAAATAGATTAGATGATCAATATCGATATGAACGATTTGCACGTAAGTTAGGAAAAGTAGAAAAGCAGTATGCGAGATTATTAGGCAATAATTATGCATCAGGATTATCATCGCATTGTCCTGATGTAGTATATGAATATGAAAAAGAAACTGAATTTGTACCAGTACCAGCCTTTATGAATCCTAATACGGAATCCTATGGTTCTCTTGGAAATATAGGTTATCCTGGTAGTCTTAATTATGAAACAAGTGGTAGTATGAGTTTACCACCAAAGGTCAGAGTTATTTTCATACCAACAGGTCAATCATCTTTTCAACAACCATGGACAGGTCCATTGGTGAGTAATTCATTTAATCAATTTAAAAAAAAAGCAACTACTAAAACTGAAAACTTTATATATTTTAGACGATGCCACCTTTTCTTTACAATCGTGTAGCACAACCTTTATATACATTTCCATTACCGCCACCATTACCACAACTAGGATCATTACCTCTTACACCTGCAGTTCAACAAATGGTCGTACAACGCTATAATAATCCTCTTGCTGTTTTACCACCTTATACTCCTAACTGGCAAATACCTCAACTGATGATGCCTAGTTATTCACAATTTTCAGAATTTCAACCTATGGCACCTATATCAACCTTTCAGTCATTTACAGCTGCTCCACAATCTTACATTCCTTCTCTAATGCCAACTTTTTCACATGTTCCATCTGTACCACAACCCTGTATTCCTGCTCTGATGCCAACTTTTCCATCTCTTTCATCTGCTCCACAATTATACCTTCCTCCTCCTTCTAGCATGCCAGTGGATCAATCTATGCTATCACCACCATCTTTACAGCTACCATTGCCAAACGCTAATGTCGTTTCATCATTGCCTCAATATGTTAATAGTGGTTATCCAAGTATATGCCGTGCATGTCCACCAGCACCACCTGCACTTAACATACCAGTCACTGGTCATTGTTGGGTACAACATTGTGCTGCTTGTCATCATGTATCTACTTCTATTTCTAATCCAAATATGCGATCTACTGGTGGACGAATTACACCATTGCTTCGTTATCCAACAGTACAACAATATGTACCTGATCAGACAATACAACAACAAAATTATTTTCAAAACGAAGCACCGATTTTGATGCGTCCATGGTTACGAAAAACACCGCCACTTCCACCTGGTGCTATTCTTATTTCAGATGAATATATTACTGGTGATGGTTATTCTTCACGACATGATCGTTCACGAAGAAAACAAAGACGACATCAACATAGTTATTATCCTAAACAACGATCCAAAACTGTATCATCAAGAATAATAACTAAATCAAATCCAGTAGTTATAAAAGTTAGTAGAAGTGTATCACCAAGAAGAGCAAGTAAAAATTATAACTATAGAATTCAAAATGATGAACTTGTTAAATCAAATAGTATCATATCAAAAAATTCATCAAGTAGTACAACAAATGGTTTAACTGTTGAATATCACAAAGTAACATTGCATTCATTTAAGCCGATAGAAGAACATATTCCTAAACAATCAGTTAACGAATCTCGTAATATTAATCTTCAATATAATTATCAACCACAAGAATTATCTTCTGTTTATCATGTTAATAATTATTTAAAATCTAATAGTGAAACTTCTACATTAGCATCAAGTTTTAGAACATCATCCAATTGTTCTCCTTCACTTATTAAGGAATATAGTCAAATTTTATCACCATCAAATGATTTTAATTCAATAGAAGAAGAATCAAATTCAAAGAAAGAAGATATAAAATCAATTCGTCTTTTTTCTCAAATAGAAAAACCGAAAGAACGATGGATTATTATACGAGAAATTATAAAAAATTCTCCATCAATAATAAGTACTATTTCATCCAATTCAGAATTTTGTATTATTGACAAGGACGATATATAAATTTGAAAACAAGTTCATTATAAACGAATAAATTCGAGTGAAATGACATCTTCCATCATAAAGTATTTTAATTTATAACTATTCACGCATATTTATATTTTAATATAAGTATGTTAACTATCTTCTTTTCTTTTTTTTTTGATTTTGTCGTATATTGTAATCATATTTTTCTTTTTACAAGGTTTTTAACAACTATTAACCTTCATCCTTCATATATTTAATCGAACTTTTCTTTTCTATGTTTATTTTTTATTAATTAAATAAATTATTGATTAATAATAAAAATAAGATAGTCTGTTTGATTCAAAATAAGAAAAATAAATTCAAGCAAAAAAAAAATAGTTCTGTTTAATTGTTTTTCTTTTTCTTACAAATCATTATCAACAAAGATAATCGACAGTTGATGATGCATTTATAACATTTTGTTGTTGTGAGACATTATTACTTGAATTTGATCCTGTTGAAGGAAACAATTGAAATTCTGATTGTTTAGCTACCTGTTTAACTGGTGGAAAATTTCGATCAACAGGTATATTAATATCAGATGTATGACGAAGCAACATTGAAGAACTAGACATAACAAAAAATAAAACAAAAAAAAGAACCAAGGTTTCAATTAAAATAAAATTCTCACTTACTATGGTAAATTTGCTTCATACATTTTTTCATTTGGTACAGGTAAAATAAAATGTTCAACAGGATGTAATGTACCACTACGATCTATATATGTATCTCGATGTTCTTGAGAAAGCTAAAATAAATAAAAATATAATATTATTTTATAAAAAAAGAAAAAAAGAAATATAAATAATTAAACTTGATAAAATTTTCGTATTTCATTTGTTCGATCAACATTTGTATTATTAAGTGCATATTTTGGTATATAAAGATATTGATCACGACTACGACGACGGTCACTCATAACAAGTTCTGGTTGATGAGTATATGGAGTTGGAAAATAACCACCTAAAATAGACAAAAGACTTAAAGATATGTCAAGTAAATCTCAATGAATATCAATTTATTGTAGTCAGTATGAATTTTTGATGAAAATTTAACCTC